AATATAAATGGACAACAATTGATGCATGTCTAGCAATAGGCCGCAAGATGTAATTAAATAGCAAACCAATCACTACTCGAGTCGGACTGGCTGGAAAACTGCACAATACATACAAAAATGTATGCAAATGATATATGAGCAGCTCCACCAAATTTAAAAATATTCTTTCCATAGTTATGACTCTAATGTGAATGTGATTTCCCACTCCTTAGCAATACTAGTTTGTGTATTGTATTGTATTGTACTGTATCATACAAGTTTATTGTGATTCTAAATGTGTTTGTACATGTAATATTAGTTAGCTTTATTTAGCATTTTGTTTAGTTGGTTAACTTTACTGTATCTTAATGTAGTTTATTTTATTTTTATACGATCATAGAACAACTCACTGTAGTTTGTTTTAATGTTAAATAAACATTATAATAATATTATTAAAATCAGTCACTGTACAATGGTGACGTATTGCGCGAAATTGTTGCAAGGACAATACTTTTCTCTAATTGTGTGGTGTCGTGCGTCGATAAAAAATGCAGTATCGATCAAGTTCGTCTACTAGTGTGGCTGGCAAAAAGCAAGATGCCGTATAATCTTTTAAATAGGCGTCAAGGAGGAGTGAAAGGCCTTAATTTGGTTCTACAATGGGCGTCATGAAATGTTGGAAAATTACAGTCAATCAAAAAAACTGTTCACATGACAACAAAAAATATTCACTGTATTTAATATGCATTAATAGCAAATGATCACGGTACGGCAGCTTGCTTGTTTTCGAAGTGTTGCAATTGTTGATTAGTAATCAGTGGTGATTATATTAACGTACAAAAAATAAATTCGTTGAATTGTTACGAGTCAAATTCAACTTAGTTTTATCGTAAGCAAATGATTTCGGTTACATGCTGACGCTCAATGCCATACGATATCCGCCATGATATCCATGCACAAGGGGCGTGTTTATTGACCAGATAGGTCAAGTCACTAATCAACCAATCAAAATGCTGGACCGTGCCCATGTGCTCAAATTAACATAAACATTTAAATATCTTAATGACAGTTCAGCGACCTCTTGGTGAAAGCAACATGGAAGAGATTTACCAATGTTTTAGTGCGATCTTTTGGCTTCGTTTTTCATGGGAAAAAGGCATGATTATTTTTTTTAATCGGCCCGATTTAGAAAAATAAATAAACGTACCGTCCCAAATAAGAATGTACCGGGTCGAATTTTTCGGAGAAAAAAAAAAGTTCCGGTACGTTTATTTGGGACATGTAGCGACATATTTTTAATTTCGCATATGGTGTGATCAGTGGATTACGTAAATAAACCAACACTTTCAATGAGTACATGCCGACCCAACTAAACTTGTTGATGGCTGTTTATGTACAGCGAGGACGCATCTCATAGAACAATAGCTGTGGAAATCATAATGTAAATGTTGCGGAAATCAAGCATGGCGATAATGATTTTGAGCGAGGCAGAGTCCGGCAAGCGTCTCAGAGCAGCATTGCACCGACACCACCACGATGTTTGAATCCCGGATAGAGCACTGCAAACCTCTTAAATCACGAGCCAAACTTTCTATTTACACAATACATAATCAGTTCCTACAACAATAATAAAAAGGCAGTTTTTCTGGCGAAACTCTCGCCAGGCTTGCAATAGTTTTTCACGATCACCAAACCCGAGACACAAACGATAATTCTAAGTGTATAAATACCATAACAAGCACAGTTTCTTACCTTTGAAATTGACGAGACACAATTTTGTCCATATAAGCGTTGCGCAAATAAAGATACAATTCCAGGATACAATATCCTCACACAAAAATGACTGTGATTTCCACCGAGACAAGAACTGCGTATGCGTCATCAAAACTCGGATTAAACTCGGGTAATTTCGGGAAAATTCGGATTTTCCAGCAGTTTTGAAGGAAAAATGTTAAAAATCAAAGAAAAACACAGTGAAACTTTGAAGAATTGAAAAAATAACTTGATGTGCATAATAACACCATCAATTCCTGTCTCTGTACCAACTCTGAACTGAATTAGATCATACATGTGTGAGAAAAAGCTGGTAACGTGAAAATGTGCACCCACGTATGCACAGACACGACCCAAGTTAATATCCCCCGCCCGGCGGGGGCTAACAATTAGTAATAACAAATTAGGCGTGAGGATTGTCGACAGTCTAGACTTTGGTAACGTGAAAATGTGCACCCACGTATGCACAGACACAAACCAAATTAAAACCAACCCCCCCCCCCCCCCCGCCCGGATCACAGATCCGGCGGGGGCTAATTACTTGTATTTGAGATATTGATGGAAAAGCTGAAAACTAATTATGTAAATCAGGTAACTAATATGAACAAAACAGAACAGAACAAAAAAATTATGCTAATTAGAGAATTAATATGAACAAATTTTAACCCAAAATTAATCAGTCTATTGTCCTTGATTATTTATGTATCAAATTCTATTTAAATGTGTGATGATCAGTAATTGAGATATCAGTGTTAACTAATTATGTTAATTAGGTGATTAATAGGCCTAAATATTTACCAAAAACTAATTGGGTCTCTGCATGTTTCTAGATTCATTGAAATGTGATGATGAGTACGTTTTAAAAGTTTCATTAAAATCCAATTCGTTCATGGGAAAAAATTAACTAATTATGCAAATTAGGTAATTAATATCTACTGATATTACCCTAAAACTATCAGGTCTGTGCAGTGTTCTATGATATCTATATACCAAGTTTCATTGAAATGTGATGATTACTACTTGACATATCAAAAGCTGAAAATTTATTAATTATGCAAATTAGGTAATTAATATGTACTGATATTACCCTAAAACTATCAGGTCTGTGCAGTGTCCTATGATATCTATGTACCAAGTTTCATTGAAAGGTGATGATTACTACTTGAAATATCAAAAGCTGAAAATTAATTAATTATGCAAATTAGGTAATTAATATGTACTGATATTACCCTAAAAACTATCAGGTCTGTGCAATGTCCTATGACATCTATGTACCAAGTTTCATTGAAATGTGATGATTACTACTTGAAATATCAAAAGCTGAAAATTAATTAATTATGCAAATTAGGTAATTAATATGTACAGATATTACCCTAAAACTATCAGGTCTGTGCAGTGTTCTATAATATCTATGTACCAAGTTTCATTGAAAGGTGATGATTACTACTTGAAATATCAAAAGCTGAAAATTAATTAATTATGCAAATAAGGTAATTAATATGTACTAATATTACCCTAAAAACTATCAGGTCTGTGCAGTGTCCTATGACATCTATGTACCAAGTTTCATTGAAATGTGATGATTACTACTTGAAATATCAAAAGCTGAAAATAAATTAATTATGCAAATTAGGTAATTAATATGTACTGATATTACCCTAAAAAGTATCAGGTCTGTGCAGTGTCCTATGATATCTATGTACCAAGTTTCATTGAAAAGTGATGATTACTACTTGAAATATCAAAAGCTGAAAATTAATTAATTATGCAAATTAGGTAATTAATATTGCACAGATTTTCAAACAAAACTAATCAAATCTGCGCATTAGTCTGGAGCATCTATGTGCCAAGTTTCATCAAAATCAATTGAGTGTTTTTTTAGATATCAGTGGAACAGTCATGGAACAGCTAAAAATCAGCTAATTATCATGCAAATTAGGTAATTAATATGCATGCATTTTTACCAAAACCTAATTAAACCTGCGCATTGCTCCAGAGCATCTATGCAGCAAGTTTCATCAAAAATCAATGTATGGTTCTTGAGATATCAGTGGAACAGACACACACACAGACACACACACACACACATATACAAAATGTACAGACACACTAACTGCGAAGACTCCCATTGTGTGCTTCGCACACGGGAGTCAAAAATGAGAATGAAAAATCTTACAAGATGTCAAACTTTGAAAGCAGTTAAAATTTTACCTTTTACAGAATTGCTGCCTATTCTAAATATTCCTAACAAGAGGTCACATAACAATAGACATTACCTGAATGATGGAAGTCCCATCTGAATGAATTCAAGACTACTGGACCCATGTGTCAGCAAACTATGTCTTCGCTCCATTGATGACATTCTTTCTTCAAGCATATCTAATATAGTATGCGTATATTTATTGTCATTATCGGGGCTCTTGAAATTAAAGAATAAAAAAAGAAACAGATACTATGCAATTAGTATGTAAAGGTTCATGTGAATAAATTACCTCGTCATTATGCAAATTAAATATTAATATTTGTAGTTTTCAATCCAAATAGCCCTGTGCACATAGCGGACACATCACTATCCCAATAGCCTTGTACACATAGC